AGGAAGGAGGGAGTCAGATGTCGCAGGAGTAGGAGAAGCTGAATCCTTACGGCCACTTGTATAATGACCGAGTTGGGGAGCATTAGACTGAGAAGCAGTGGTATTACGTGAGAATAGAGACCCCATTCTACGCTGCATAGGAGTAAGATCATGACAAAGGATAAATTTTGCCTTCTCTAGGTACGCAGTTACACGCTCTGGATGGGTAAAGATTGTGTCAACTTCGATTGATGAAAACAATTTGACTAAGATGGGTGGATTTTTGCTACGGGAGGACAAGCGTTTGGCATCGGCTATTTTGTAGTTGAAACCACATGAATACAGGAAACTGGTCGCAACATCAATTTGCCGAGCAGAGCGAGGAACATTTTTTAGCAGGATGTTGTAAGAACGCTTCTGTCTATCACAAGATTCACTGGCGATCAGGTGATCAAGTGAGTCGGGACGCCTACATTCTTCAGAGGGAATATCGGAGATGTTCCCGTCGAATAATTGTCCAAGAATTTTCAGCAAAGAGCTAAACTTTAGCATAAAGTCATTGCAGTGGTCAAGTGCAGACAGATTAAGCTGCCGACCAATTACAACGGGTGACGACTGACTAGTAATATCATCTGACTTAGATTTAGGTAAAGCTTCTGACTTACGTTTAGTTAGGCCATGTTTATTTACAAGAGCCGAGAGCTTACGTCGACCAGTGACTTTTGGTCTCATCTTTTCTCGAGGCAATTTGTGATTAAGAAACCTTCTGGCAATTTGTGATTAAGAAAACTTCTGGCAGAAAATTTGACTGAATTTCAGCTAGGGGCTAACGATGTAAAAATAAATTACAACAGTTAGAGATAAATCGGATGCACAAAATGATAATTGCAAATTGCGATTAGTGAACAACGGGCATAGACTAGAAAAACTCCAAAGGAGATTGCAGCAGGCGGTTCTTAGAGAAAAGGCCTGTATTTAAGGAAATTCAAACAAAAAACCACGTACTAAAATCGTTAGGTCTCACAGAAAAACCACTTAAAATAATATCCTCCACTTATCTTCAAATTTAAAACCAACGGCCCTAGTTAACCAAAGTTATCGAAAGCAGCATAGGTGGAAGTGGTTGAGTTTCTTGGCATGGTTGGGGTAGACTGTCTAGGTCTCCGCTCCGTAGAGAGCACGCTTTCTATTACTTTAAGAGAATTCATGTGCACCTTACCATGCCTCCTTCTGTTTGTTGTTGGACACACGGTGGACATCATCATTCACGATGGTCGAACCTTCGAGCATTGTGCACTGGCACACAGGATTGGGGCCTACTTATCCCACGGAAAGGCGTTCATTTGGACAACTGTCGTGTCCCGCCTTTAATAAGATCTTGACTGCCTTCGTGGATGCGCAACACGATGATGTTAATCCCGGCCGCATACTTATCAGGAAGCAAAGTCATGTAAATATGAATGCCTGCGTTCAACGTTGTTGGAGTATTTATGAATATGTAAAACTGGAACCCTTACGTTATATATAAATAAGTTTCTTCATTAAAAATCTCCTAAATTAAATTAAGTAAAAACAGCTTTTCGGTTGAGTTTTAGAACGAGTTAGCAGACAGTACCCCACGGAAAATCTGGCTAAAACATAAATCGGCGAGTGCAGAAGAAGTTTGGTAATGTGTTTGGAAAACGAGAGAAAAATGTAATCACCGTGTTTCTCCCGAGGAAAATACAATCCAGAAGACAAAATTGGACGAGCGAAGTACAGTTAACACAGATGTGACATCACTTGCTGCACAAGTCCTAATGGCGGAGTGCCTGATTAAAAGAAAGTCATAAGTAAGGAAAGAAAAATGGTAAAAAAGGAAAATAACCGCTAAGAAATAACCGGACACGCTTTGTGACCTTTAAAAAACTAAGTAAAACATAGCGGACGAGCAATCAACTGACTATGCAATGACGATATCTTACAGTTGGTCGACCTGCTGTTGTAGGCAAAGACCGGCTAACGGTAGGTATTGGCGGTAATAGACAAGATATTGCAATGTTATTGATGAATCTTTTTATATGCCGTTTATAACTTTTCTTATAAACAAGATCGCCTTCCCGAAATTGTGTTACTTATGAAGTGTCTTTGGAGCATTTTAGTCTATTATCCAACCTCAGTTTCATGGTTTCGCTAGCTGTGCGAGAGAAGATTTGGTGCTAAGTGCTGTCCGCACAACGTGTAAATAACGAGGTCAGCCACTCGCACCAAATCAAAGGGGCAGATAAGGAAAGTGTATGATACCCGTTTCTCCTAATTCGCAAAAGTTGTCGCTCTCAACTGTTAGCGGGAGACAAGAGACTTCAACCAATCCTGTAACCTGGGTCCGTGGCTATGCAGCTGCGACAACTCGTGGCCATGCACACTCCTGATACTGGACACACCTTCGCATCAGACAAAACTTGCATCATCGGAGTTTTCTCCTCTTAAAAGAGCGGACAGTTTCTTGAAGGCGTCGACGTAGAGTGAGCCGGACGAGTGTTACGATGGAAGTTGCGGGAAGGGAGTCGGCAGCTGAATGGGGAAGGGGCACCGACTGTTTTTGCCAATACGCGGTTACACCATCTTCATCCTGGGTTTGCACCACAAGCGTCGCGCCATTTGAGCAACCAAGTCGAGTTCGTTGGGCGTTGCACCAGATTTGGGTAACAGTCAGTGCTCTCTGTTTGGCTGAGACAACAAACCTCCATTGAGTGAGGTAGGGTGTCCAAGACGAGTTAAGATGGGGCCCGTCCGGAGTGAGCATGTCTGTCTTACGACAAAATAACCAGCCCACAATCATGATACTCAACACGACTAGTCAGACAGTCCTCCTTCAAGAGTATTTCTACAGTCCGCAACTGCGGCCAGTAAAACGGTTAGACAGAAAGGTCCTCCTTGGGGGGCTTACTTGCAGTTTGCAATTACAGGCATTTGGCAACCTACCGGGCCCGGCAGACCCGCCACTCCGACCGCGGGATTCCTGCACCGGATGAAAAATTTTGGCCGTAAAAATTCGACAGTCCCTTGCATCTCTCGCGGCTGCAAGTTTATGCTATGTAACTGGACCCTGACTGCCAGAAAAAGCCTACTTTGGGGGGAGGAATGGAGAGTGGGGACTGCGCCGGTAGGTAAAATTGACCTTGACACGAAAGAACATAGCAGGAGTCAGTTTGCCAAGAGCAGCGGAGCTCAGAAGTCTGGAAAGATCTTTCCATTGGTCATTTTTATCCGCAACATCCATTACTGCAAGCCCTGCTTTTAGGTCTCTACTCTGCCAATAAACTCGTGTTTAGTCGTTCTGCCCTCATGCATACCCATTCACTTCCTATTAGAAATATTATGTTTTCCGTTACCTCTGTCCTGTTCTAACTTCGGCCAAATCAAGACGGCGGAGGCCTGCTTTTATCGACTTCATACGGCTTTGACTCGGGGTATCCATTGTAGATCGCTACCTCTTCGACGAAAGTAGTGAAATACGAAACCACACTCTTTCGTACAGGTTCTAATAATCCTTCGTCCTGGCCACCGACACCCATAGGTTTGTTAGGGTCGTATTACATAGTTGATGGGGGTCAGACGGTCGAGAGCATGTCCTCGCCCCTTCAGGCAATCTCTGGACAAAGTCCAGGGTCAATACGGTAACACACGAAGGGCGATGCTACCTTTTGTTGTATTTGCTAAGAAGTTCCGACGCTTGCTTTTTGCTAAACACTTTGTTGTTCTTACGGAACACCAAGTTCTGAAACTCCTGTGGAAGTTCAGTTTCTGAGAGATAGATAGTCCAGTGGTGCGGTCTTTAAGATTTCGATTTCAGGGTAAAGCATCGTCCGAGGAACTATGAGAGGGAACACCTACCTCTGCCTCGCGCTCGTACATTACCCCCGCGTTTCCAAAACATTAGCCTAGTCATTTTACCATCAAACTCCCCCTTACCACCCAAGCACAATAGGCTAAACTCCAAGCTTCAGACCTTGACATTTATCACTCCTAAATCGATAACAAGACGCGATAATACCCTCGGTTCGCTGGACGGAGAATTCTAAGTGGAAGCCCATTGCCTCCGGACGATGTGTCCATGCGCACTCTCTATCGAGGACGTCCTTTTTTCAACATCACCCATTTTGCCCGAAGCCCTATGTCGCGGAGTCGCCCGAGATACACACGAGGGGCTCGCTAATATTGGTTAAACTAAGACACTCATTACCATAGGGTAACCGTTGTGCCATCCTGAGCAGCGGCATGAAGTCGTGTCATCCTGCCGGACCTGCACCACCTGTGCTCAGATCCAAGTCACCGTGACTAAACACCATACCCTTCTGGGACCGATGACGTCTGGCTTTTAGAGTCACCAGACTGATCTGAACGTCTTTGGGTTATTGTTCGAAACGCAGAAAAGCAGCCGTTTCATATTTATGATTGTCGCTTACCCAACTAGGGGGATCAGGCCTAACCCATGCCAAGATGGCCTCAGTATAGCAGCAGCACAACCTGATTACTGGACAACTCAACGGATGCCCGTAAATTAATCACTCCACATAGTTGAGACCGGCTCCTCCTTTCATCCAGAGAGCAACGGACAAACCGATAACACCAATGAAATTCTACTCCTATTCCTGCATATTAAGACCGGCCAGTCCCTGCGGATCATGTGTACGTTCTCCTGCCTCGATGTCCACGCGCTTACCTTGGCTGAATTCACTTCTACCGCATCCACTTCCCCTATGATACTCTTCCCCCGTGACCCTCGTCTATCCTCTGAGCTCACCGCCCCCCTCGCCACTGCTCGCACAAACTCATTAATATTTCCGCATCGTGACTTTTTCCCTCCAAACCTTCCACCTTCTTCATGCCCTCGTAGAAGTACACGTCTTTCCTGACCACCGTCCTGTTTTTTTCTTCCGACACAGTTTTCCCTATTCGACTAAATTGATCCCTGGTAGGTCCCCACAGTCCTTCCTCGTCGTAGTCATATGAGGATTGACTGGAGAGCGTAGAACCGCATGGCTTTGGTTGACTATTCGTCAAGTGAGGGTGAGGAAACACTAGAACTTCCTCGATCTTTGGAGCAATTTGTCAGTGATGAGAAGAGATTCTCCACTCAGCAGGGAAGAATGAGTTCCCACCAAACCGGCCGTGTTCGAAGCTTTCCACACATACACGGGAATTGGGCTTCCTGTGTATTTATTCCAGGTTTGTGAATTTGAGTTTTACGTCACCACTCCTTAATATCAAAATTGGTGCTTTCTATGCCAAATTTTGCAATGGTTTAGGTATTTTCCATATTCTATATCTCATATACCTTAGGGCCATCAGTTTAGCAACTTCGTTTAGTGAGTAGTACTTGGTCGACCTCTTTTCGAGTGCGGCCCTCCTGTTCACCTGTCTTGACTGTGTATGGTTCGTTCAGTCTTCACAGTGTCTCGAGTAAGACCATGCAACAGCTGTCGTCCACTTACGACGTCATAGACGATTTTAACAAGATTCCGTTGCCGTCGTCAAACCCCATGGATGTACACCGTTGAAGTGGGTTCACATCCTTCCCCACTGCATCTATCAGCGCCTGTAGCGGTTAGTGAACAGGGATGGACCTATGGCCTTAAATGTGATTACTGCCGTCTGTCTGCTGAGCGCTCATCCGCACAGCCCTCGTTGGTGGCTGTTCGTTTATTGGATTCGCGTTAGATTCATTAGTCCTGTAAGATTGGCCATAGCCGTCGTATGCACTTTATATGAAAAAAATCACTTTTTGAGACACCCATGCCTTCGACCAATGATCTGAAAGTTGAGACATTTTCCTACACGATCGTGTTAGAACAGATGTCTCCGGGCATGCACTGTAAATCCTTCCGAATTGTGGGCTGCCACTTCACTAGGCAGTAATCTCTGAAAAAGTCCCCCGAGGCTTATTGTTGCTGTTGTGTGATGGCTCTGGGAAGACGAGCGTTTTCGCATCTTTCCCCACATTTTGTGTCTCTCAAGTACATGTGTTCGGGATCCCATGGAGTTGCCGCATGTCGCGAAGAATTTTCAAGACTTCATATAACAACCTGCACCTGTTTTTCCTTCGCGAAAGTAAGTCTGTTTACGTGTTTTCAGAAATTATCTTTGTTCTACGTTTGGTTGGTTTTATAGTGAATATCTCTCCAGTGTAGGACAAGACGTTCCCAAGAGCTGGCTATCAGTAAAGCAACAGTTATCAAAGTATCACTAACTTATCCGGTTTCTAAACCACCAGCCCAACCTTTTGCCTCGACCATATTTTATCTTTAAAGTACGGCATAGCGACTAGCCAACTCATACAGCTTGAAGAAGAAGAAGAGTCGAGCACCGGAACAATTCGTTTATTATCCTGAGCTTTCAGACTCGTACAGGAATCCATCGTCAGAGGTAGTGGCAGAAACAGGACAAGCGGCAGTTATAAGGCACGTAGACCCAATCATCGACCGACGTCGCACGACTGGAGGTGACTACGAAGGGCTCTGTACGCCGGCGCCAGATCGATAAATCGATTGACCGAGTTCTCATCCGAGGCCCAGGCTTCAATCAATTCTCGGCCTGTTTTGTTTCCGGCGTGGGCAACTATTTTGGTGGCTGCGAAATCAAACTCGTGACCCATTCCGGTGCTCGACTCTTCTTCTTCTTCAAATATGTATACACCTGGAACTCGAAATTTCGCCTTCATTCGTGAACTCATACAGCCTCATAGCAACACACGCTCATGCAAGTTGACCCAGGAACAATAGGGCAGTTTTTATGTGGTCGGCAGCGATTACGATTTCATTGTGAATTTCCGCCGATCGTGCACCGAAACCCATAATGCATGCCGATGGAATAAGTCGGAAAATCTTTGCTATGTATACTGGCTAGAACACGCTGTTTAGAAAAAAAATGTAATACAAAATATACACCACCAAGTACCAGTGAAACTTTTCGTGACAACACCGAAAATGCAAGCAAGGCTTGCATTGTAAGCGTGACGCAACGCACTCTGATGTGTACAAATGAACTAGTTAGACTAGACAAGCTCGAAAATCCACAACACCATTTCCGATGGTCCTCAGGCTCAATTTGGCGTAAGGATAGGTACATATGCCATGAGCTCAGAAGTAGTCAACTGTTTGATGTTGGACAGTTTTTCAGCTGTCATCTGGGTTTGTTATATTAAAGCCTTTGTTTTTTGCATTGAGCCAATTGTGTTTAGCTATGGAAGATACGATTTGTCCGAGTTTTCACTTAGAGATTTCTTGTTTTGCGTTATTTAAAGACACCGTAAGATCACAAGTTGATTTTGGCCATCAGCAAAAAGAATTGGGTATGGTTACCCCATGTAACCATGCTTCTGTCATTTTCTGTCAAGCGTAAAACAAGGGCCTTTCAGGGTTTTCACCAAGTCAATTGTTAGGTTTTAGTGTCGTGTTCGCGCCTTGTTAACCATCTCGTTTCGGTCTTGAGTTCTGCCACCTACCCTGTGTATATACGGTAAGTGATCTATCCCATGAGGTGTTAAGCGGAATTCTGAAAAGCCTTTTCAGTCGGTAGGGATTGTGGGATTCGTAATATTGGTTATTTTCCAGAATTATCCTAGGATATTCCAGTCATGCCAGACTGGCATCTTTTAAACGCGTCTCCTACCGGCCGCCTGTGAAAACTACGCTCAATAATGGCGACCACTTAGGTAATATGCGCGTTTCCCATTGATTTTCAATGAACTCTTAAATCAACCTATGTTTTATAGGAAACATGTTCAAAATATCAGTCATCATATTCGTCCAAAGCCAATCGCGTCGTATTCAATTTTTTACATGCAAAAGGGTCTTTTTCAGCACTTATTTTTTTCTTCAAATTCCGAATAAATGGCGACAATCCGACCTGCTGTTGCACTTACTTTTATGGTTTTCAAACTATGAGCTGCATACTTCCTCTGTGAGAAAAATCCTATGCTCCCCTATGCAATCGAGAAGATATCGTATAGTGCTCCTAAAATTTTGCAGCGGGTGTTGCCCATGTATAGACGGCCACATAAGTAGCCAGTTTTTGCAGTTTTTGCAGGCGATCAGCGAGCAGGACGTTTAAAAGCTGGCATCATGGTGTAACTGAAATATCATGAGATTATGCTGCCTGATAATCACTCTTATAAACCCGTCTAAGTAATCCTTTCTAATCGAAAAAGAATTTCAGCATTTCGGTTAACATTTCATGAGATGGGTCACTCGCTGTAGCACTGGTAAACGTAATATATCTATCTGGCGTTTTACACTTTCACTGAAGTACATCGCCGGCATACCAAAGACATTCCAAGGAGGTAGACATTACTCATATAGTTTGTCTGGGCTCTGACAGGCCCTTCCGTCTTTTGTCTCACTGATCCAGGAACCGGCGACTAGCTCAGTTTACGGTTGATTTAGTGGCCATTAGAATGTTAGGCTTTGACCATTTTTCCGGGTATTTTGTTTTCGGCCCTTCCGAGTACTTGTGTTCGACACAAAGGCAAATAGACACTTAACATAGTAGATGAATGTAGACATGCTCTCATTCGGGGGCGGACCTTTGGACTGCTTGAACATCTGGCGGGTGGTGACCTCTGGCTAGCGTCCTGAGTGTATTTGGAATATAGTCGAGCCATATATTCATTCAAGAGTAGGTGGACGCAGATCTGTTTGGTCTCCCAGAGCAAACACGCTCCGACTGGTGTGATAGGGGTCGCCAACAGGATGCAAAGCGGCCAAGCTAGACCGACAAAGACATCGGGAGACTCAGACAGCGTTGCTTTGAATCTATTCATGCCTATAAATCACCTTAGCTATAACCAGCTATCGGAAACAAACGTGCCCACTCATACTACTCAAGTCCAAACATTAGTGGTGGGTTGTCAGTACCACCGAACGTCGGAATCTCGCCACCCGCCTGTCTCTGGGCTAAATCAAGTATTTATTCCCATAGACTTAGGCGCACAACCGTCTTCGTCTCCCCAGAGTAGATGCCGAAGCATGCGGTTTCTAGCAAAATACTTTCGAAGGCTGCCATTTGTGCCGCAAACTGTCTTATTCTTGAGCTCCTCTGTTGTATGTCGTGAAGAGTCACGTTTCACAAGCTGCCTTCTAAATTATAGTTACATCCTTGCTCTTAATGATGACTTTCGACTTTTGAATTCAGTTAAAACAATTAAATTAGTCTTTGATGACCTGAATCATAACTCGGTATCGACCTCTTCTTTTGTCCTTGTTACAGCTCCCGAAGACATGTCTGCCTTCTTTCGTGAGATTATGGACGCCGTCGATCCCTTCTTGATTAACTGCTCTTCTCAGTTCCACTCAGTCGAGGATCCCCACCTAAGCCTCACAAAAACATGGCCAATTCTGCACCACTGGATAGATGGCTTCGCACGGTTTGTAGCGACTGTGGCTTCAGAAAATGCACGGTACTCACTACTTTGTCATGCATTCACACCTGTAGGTTTTCCGTTCAATTAAGTGGACCGACATTTTTAACAAATGAGGAGAAAACAAGGTTGTTTTTCCTATTGTGTAATGTTCACTTCCAGGTCATTTCTGGCACTCACTATCGCTCCATCAGATAGGGGACCTTTACACAGCCTGGTTAGTCGACTTGATGAACAAGTTATCGCGCTCCGGGGCGAAAAGTATTACCAGGTAGGCTCTATCTCCTGTTTGTCGTAAATGTTACATTATCTCGTAGGATCCTCTCTTTCATTTTAGTATAGGCTGGTGCGTTGGCGATGTTCATCAGAACATGTCATCAGAATCACGGAAAGCATGTCTAGTGGGCCTTTCCGTTCTTTTATCTAATGTTTCTAGGATTTTATTGAAGAACATTTCGCTCCCCAAATGTCAAACCATTTTGAATTATCACGCCTTATTTTCAAGTCCGGTAATAAAGAATACAATTTTACACTTTCGTGAGGCAAATTTATTATTTTTCCTCAGCTTGTGCACTTATTAAGAGCACCCTTATCTGTTATTCTCCTATGTTCTCATACAATTTCTGTCACGTGTAAGTGTAGTCTTCTCCTACCATGAGAATTTTGGTTGTCAATTAAGCGAAATGGTTTAGGAATATTTCTATATATCGGCAATTGAGCTTAAAACTGCACAGTAAGGCGGTGCGTATTGATCAGTCTGATGTACAGAGCAGAACACGCTCATTTTGTGTTTGCCGGTAGGCCAAGATAAGACCGTTGCTGTCAGTTGCTTAATGCTCAACAGTGTTTTCAGAAAACCTATAGTGACACATCTGAGACTGATCCGACCAGTTCTGACTTTATCTTTGCCAGTTGACCGAACTCCCAACTCTCCTCGGTGTGGACGTGTAGGGCAAATCAGCCCTCCTGAGCTTTAAAGTCATCAGTCGTGATTTCGGACCATATCGTATACGGTAGTAACGCCTATTGATCTGGCTCCATTTCGGGACAGCAGTGGTGAGGCC